AAAACTGGAACCCTTTTACACTACTGGTGAGATGTAAAATGGTGGCACTTTGGAAAAACTTTCTGCTGGTTCTTCAAACGATTAAACATAGAGTTATCATATGATCCAGCAATTCCACTCCTACACATCCAAGAGAGCTGAAAACATATGTCCACAACAAAACCAAACTGATGAATGGATAAACAATGTGTGCTATATCCATATATGGATGAACGGAATAGTATTCGCCCATAAAAAGGAATGAAGTATTGATAAATGCTATAACATGGAAGAGCTCTTGACATTTTGATTACAAAAAAAATGGATACGCCTTAACATAAATCTAAGTATAAGAAGCCAGTCACAAAAGACCACATATCATATGATTCCCTTTGTATGGAATGTCCAGAATAAGCAAATCCATAGAAACAGAAGAGAGACTGCCTAGGGCTGGGGAAGGCAAGATTGTTGAGAAATGGGGAATGACTGCTAATAAGTATGAGATTTCTTTTAAGGTGACAAAAATATTCTAAAATTATGATGACAGCTACACAACTCATTGAATATACAGATGCTCTTTGATTTGCAATGGAGTTACATCCTGATAAACTCATTTTATGTTGAAAATATCTTAAGTCAAAAATGCATTCAATACATCTAACCTACTGAACATCATAGCTTAGTCTAGCCTACCTTAAACGTGTTCAGAACACTTACATTATCCTATACTGGGGCAAATAATCTAACACAAAGCCTATTTTATAATGAATAATTTATTGAATATTATACTGAAAGTGAAAAACAGATTGTATGAATACTCAAAGTAGTTTCTACTGTACTACATGCATACTGCTTTTGCACCATTGTAAAGTTGAAAAATCATAAGTTGAACCATCCTAAGTTGGGTGCCATCTGTACTAAAAAACATTGAATTGCATGCCTTAGATAGAAGAATTATATAGTAGGCGAATTACATCTCCATAACACTGTAATTTAAAGAAAAACATACCATGCAAATCTTCTATCAAAAGAAAACTAATATGGTCTACTAACATAGACTTCAAGATAAAGAATATTACCAGAGATAAAGGTACTTCATAATGACAAAAGGACCAATTTATCAGAAAGTCACAACTATCCTCAATGTATTTAAACGTAATCACAGTGGATCAAAATACATGAAGCAAAAAGTGATACAACAGAAAGTATAAATAAATCCACCAATACGTTGGGGATGTCAATACTCTTATCTCAGCAATTGATAGAACAAGTAGAAAAAAATCAGTAAGATTATAGAACACTTGAATAACAACCGACTTAACCTAACTGACATTGTATAGAATATTACATTCAACAAGAGCAGAATGTACATTCTTCCAAGTAGATATAAAATAGTCACTAATATAGAACACATGCTGGGTCATAAAACAAGTCTCAAGAAGTTTAAAAGAACTAGAATCCTATGGAGCATGTTCAGTGACACAGCAGAACTAAATTTAAAATCATTAACAAAATGATATTTAGAAAATCTCCAAATATTTGAAAATTAAACACACTTCTAAATAGCACCTGTATTGAAGAAGAAACCACAAGGGTATTATTCAGCATCATCCCAATACCAAATCCAAAGACATTTTAAGACAAGAAAACTAAAGACCTCATGATTATAGACACAAAAATACTCAAATAATTTTAGTAAATTAAACCCAGTAATATATTAAAAATATGACACATCATCATCACCAAGTGGGGCTAATCCAAGGAATACAAGTTACCATTTTTAACATTTAACATAATTCACAACAGCAGCCATAAACAAGGATGAGTTCATGTCCTTTGTAGG